TTTATCACCTAATAACTTCCCGGATCAAATAAAAACCTTAAGTTTTTAACAACACACTTGTCTCTATATGTAATTGATATTAAAGCATTAATATCTGGTGGCAGCAAACAAGAAAGAAGAGCGAGATCCTCATGAAGGCCTGGGGGGTGATAGGGATTTCAGAGGAGATCACCACAATTACCAATGAGTCAGACTGAAGGAAATAATTGATCACTAAATTGATTCTATATCTAATTTTCCCCCAGATGGCAAAGGTACCATATGTGCCAAAATCTGCATTTTCATGTGTGCATTAGCACCAGGCCATTCTTGGAGATTGTTTTCAAATGTGCTATATTTAGAAAATCAAAAGATTTTCCTCCAAAGTTTGAGCACAGTAACGTCATAGAGCATTTTGTAAAGATAAACTGGATTATAATCCACAAAAGCTCATACTGAAATAAATCTTCTATTCTTACCACAATACATTGGGTGGATTTTTTGTTAGTTTGTTATATTTGTTACATTTGTAGACTGAGCTACAGTTGTTGCCAGGATGTTTTCGCAGTTCATTCTGGACTTTCTGTCCAGTATTTTGATCATTTCTACCATATCATATTTTTGTAACTATTATTCTTTTACCTAGTAAAATTGCTTGTTAAATTTAGTCACATTTTTGTTTCAACTATCTCATTTCATGCATGATATGTGCCTGTAATGGTAATTCAGGGGAAACCTTTAGGATTAAGAAGGGCATGGGAGACCAGGTTTAATGGGTTTGAGGCCCATTAGCTAAAATGATGGAAAGAGAGAATAAGGAACTGCAGTCGAAAATACCCTGTTTATAGTATAATCCTATACATATTTACTCAGAAGTGAGATCTAATGCGATTCATAGGCCTTACTCCCTGATAGCTATGTTTAGGTTTTGCATGTTGTTTTGACAACAGAGGCAGAAAATCTTACAAGCACCACTGCTCCTTCCCAGCATTAAAAAGACGACCTTGGTAATAAATAGTTACATAATTTGTTGCCTTTGATAATGCTCAAAACCCATTGTAGCTGATTCCTTCTGTGATAAAGATCTCAGCAGTCAAGGTGGTTTTGTGTTTTATTACACATGTTTAGGAAGGTTGATATGAAGGATTAGGGTCTTTCAGGGATTCTAATCCCAACCCTGATTTAAGATTTAAAAGACTGAAGCTCCTGGAAGCAAACTGGCAACCAGCAAGATTCTTCTCAATGCTGTCGAGATGTGAGTAGAGGTACCTCCATCCTGTTTAAGAGCTACCATATTCTGAGCCACATGCCATTTCTCAGAAACCCTCATAGCCCACCCTACACTGTGCTGTACCTTGCAATAATCAGCCCAATTACAATACTGTTTTACCCTGTCAATCTTTTTTTAAAAAGCTCTTGTAGCCCTTGGCACTGTGGAAAGTTCTAAAAATAAATAAATGAGGAGTACCTAAGGGAGGACGATCTATTCACTGGTGTTAAAATTCCCACACGTTTTTTGGAGCTGTCTCTTGGCCGGGTATTTGGGGCTGAGAAGGGTGAGAGGGGAGCAGCGTAAATGGGAAGAGTTCAGTGGCCCCACACAGGCTCATTAGAAGCAAGACTCAGGACTCGGTTGTCTAAAAGATGAGCTCATGGCGGCAAGCTATTCTTGGCTCCAACTTGCTTGCCGCTGCTAATTTCATGCCTTGTGATCCAGGTAACGCTCTGGTGCTTTGCTCCATCATCCAGGGTTGGAACTGCTTTTTTAGCCCAGCAGGGGCCCTGCTGCTTCGACTCCTGAATTTTAAGCTGAATAAAAAGCTGCTTTTTTGTAAAATCATTTTGAGAGTGCAGGGCCAAAAGCTGATTTTTTTTTTCTTTCTCAATTTGAAGAAGACAAATATATGGCTATTTTGAGTAGCCATCGTTGCCAACATTGTTACCTGGATGTGGAGAACTAATATTGGAGGACAGCAGGGGCCCTGCTGCTTCGACTCCTGAATTTTAAGCTGAATAAAAAGCTGCTTTTTTGTAAAATCATTTTGAGAGTGCAGGGCCAAAAGCTGATTTTTTTTTTCTTTCTCAATTTGAAGAAGACAAATATATGGCTATTTTGAGTAGCCATCGTTGCCAACATTGTTACCTGGATGTGGAGAACTAATATTGGAGGAGCTATGGAGCGAAAAATACGGTAATATTGGAGGATCCCATCTTTATCTGTCACCATCGTCTTGGAAATGCTAAATGTGGATTAAGAATGCACATTATTAACAGTGCACTTGGTCTGTGAAAGAGAATGGAGAAAATGCTTTTTTATTTTTGGAAATGTGGTTGAGATCAGAATGCCCAGCTTTTTCTGAATTTTTTCAGAGCGAATTCTATATCCACAAGGCCGCACTAAGATTCTGATAAGAAATCTGGTTTTCAATATGTGAAAAAGGGGACATTGTGGAGAATTAAGACAGAAGGTCTGTTGAATTGCTTCCTGTAAATAATCCCACAAAAGTTACTATCCCATACAAATATGGTGCAGTGATTAAATTGCAGTACTGCAGCCAAACCCCTGCTCACAAACTGGGTTCAATTCCAGGTAGCCAGATAATGGTTTACTCAGCCTTCCATCCTTCCGAGGTTGGTAAATTGAATACCCAGCTTGTGGGGTGGGATGGGGGAATGTGTTCCTATGGCTTTTTTTATTCCGTTCGGCGATGTTTTCGCATAGCGAGGATTAATCCGGAACGGATTAATGTCGCTATGCGAGGCACCACTGTACTTTGGGTTGATATAAAAACATTGCTTTGCTTTGGTCTGCCTGCACACACACATGTGCTTATGTTAGTAATTTATGAGATACTAGAGCCCTGAACGATGGAACAGACCCAACTCTTCTTTTAGTTTGTGAAAAGCTTCTTTACCTGATCTCTTCCATGTGGCCGAGTAGAATACATTTGTAGACAGGCTTGCAATTGCCACAAGTGCTTGTCTAACACTTGGAAAAATTACTTTTTCACATGGCGGCTCTAATAATCTCACACTTGGCCATGCTATGTAAAAGTTTTCAGGAATTTCGTCCAAAAAAAAGAACATTTCTAAAATGCATATGGGTGTAGCAAAACTAGTCCTTATGAGATTTCCGTCAGTATCGACTGTACATTTTAAAACGTATCTTCATAATGATATGTGTGAAGACATTGTTTTGGGTGGACCAACTTTGTGTGGCATTGCGGCATATTTGCTCTTTTTCCCCCTAGATCATTCCACAGGCAACACCTTGCTAGGGCTTGCTGCCAAAGTTCAGTGGGAATGGTCAACCGTAAGAAGAAAGCTACTCCAGTGTATTCGCGAAGGCTTTCACGGCCGGGATCTAAGGTTGTTCTGGGTTTTTCGGGCTCTTTGGCCGTGTTCTGAAGGTTGTTCTTCCTAAGGTTTCGCCAGTCTCTGTGGCCGGCATCTTCAGAGGACAGGAGTCAGAACTCTGTCTGTGCTGTGCTGCAATTTCTTTGGATATTTGTGTATTTATAGCTGTGGGATCAGCCTTTGTCCTTTTCAGGAGATGAGCCTTGTTATAGACATCAGTTACATTTTGTGAAGGTTAACAGGAATAGATTATTCTTAGAAACCAAAGCACATAGTCCCCGTATGCTTAGTTATAGTAACATACCGATAAATTCAACAGCCTTGGGAGCTTTGGGAATTGAAAAATAACCAAGTGGGGTGCATATAAAATCTGCATGTTTTTGAGGGCCAAATGATTGACCAAGCATCAAATCTTTACTCCTCACTTGCTTTTCTTAACCTAACTGCAGTTTCAGGCGCAGACGGGTTGTAACAGGGGCTGCAGAACTGGGAGGATAGTTTTGCCCTTCCCCACCTCATGCCCTCACAGCAAGATTTCCCTGAAAAATATCTTTCTTTTTCCCCTGATAAATGTGTGGGAAATTTTTCAGAGGTTTTGAGGTTATTATTTTTTCCTGGAGGAAATGCCCATCTGTGAAAGGTTATTATAATTTGTGTGTAGAGCGGTGTCTTTGTTGCATAGATTTCACCTGGAAAGGGCCTTAAGCTGTGCAGAAATTGGTAGTCTCTTGGCACAGAAGAAAGGTGTAAAACAAAACAAACCAATAAATCAAAAAGGGGGCAAAGGAGATCCAAATTTTGTTTTCATGGGGAACTGGGAAATCTCATTGATGCAGGGAGCCCATGGCATAGCACCAAAACTTAGGATATCACAAAAAGTAACGAATTTCATGGGGACCTGTCCCATCCCTGCACTCTGTAGCCACACAGGAAAGATAGTAGGGGAGCTGGGGGAAGGGATAAGCAACCCTGTTTTGTGTGTTGTAATTCCAGTAATAACCTTCTCCCTCTTGCAACCTGTATTAAGTTAAGAAAGCAGGAGAAAACTATGCAATTCACATTAAACATCATGTGTAGACAGCTAGGTTCTGGAGACAGTGCTTGATTCTGTGATGTGAGATATAGTCTCCGGAGCCAGCCTCTGTGTCTTTGGGCAAGCTGCACGGTCCCAGGGTCCCTGCAGAAGAAAGGAACGGTAAACTGCTGTGTGTTCTATTCATAGAAAACCCTGGAAAGGGGACACTATAAGTCTGAATTGAGTTAATGGCATACAGTTGTTATTTATAACAGAAAAGAAAAAGCTATGCACCTTTTCTTCCTTCTCATGTGGTCTTTTTTATCAGAAATGAGAAACAATTGCGAATGCCATGTACATATTCCAGAGGGGCTGTTAGCTCAGTGAGGGTGCCTTGAGGTCTGCAGATGTACTCCTCAGCTAAACAAATGGACTGCTAAAGGCTTAGCCGCTTTGCAGAATCTGCCATCCTGTGAGCTCTGTAACACCATAAAGCCATGGCCTTCACTATGTCTGTGAATAATGGCAGGGAGACTCAGGGGCAGGTGGTTTCATGTCATTTGTTCCCCTTTTTTTTTCTTTTGGCAGTCTTACTTTTTTTAAAAAAAACAGCAATAATTCTTTGATGCTTTTTCCCCCCCTTCCCTAGGACTTCTTTGAAAGCTACATTTCCGTGGCTTCCACTGTGCCTTCTGTGCTTTGCTTGATTGGGAACTTCCTGCTGGTCAACAAGTAAGTGTGGCTGCATTACTCACCGCCAATTTGCCCCCTCTCTTCTCCTTTGGCCGAGCCACTTCCCTCTCCAGGCTGCAGCCTTAGCACAGCAGTGAGCCTGTAGTCGAACTACAAATCACTTGATGGGCAATTGGGTTTAGCCAGAAAAAACCTTCATATAAAACTTCTCAAGGTGACCATGTCTCCCCCTTTATCTCCCCCCCCCTTTTAGTCCCAAGCAGGGACAACCTGTATCCAAAAATGTACAATGGATATCTTAGCAAACTTTCATATCTCCAACTTTATGCAGGAAGCTAGGCCAGAACACATGTGCCCATTCCTTAAGGCAGGAATGGATGAGGAATACCAAGGCCTGATTTTGTATATTTTCAAGTCTATCTTTTGTTTTTACACCTTTCTGTAAAATAGGTGGTCTTGGAAAATACAAAGCTGATGCTTTGTTATCTAAACTAGTGAAACGAGTAAAAGTGTGTGGCCGGTTATGTGTCTTTCTTATCAGTCAGCCTATGCTTTTACACTCACACGTGTGTGGTTGGCTTCTCAACAGGGAAAGAACGCTTTTGAGAAGAGATATTTAGCACAAATTGCAAAAGCTGCAAGAGGAAAAAAGCAGTGCTTCGTTTTCAGTCTTGTGCTGGAGCAGAGACTGGGCATGAGAGTTGGGAGGTTGTTTGATAGGCTGGCTTGCTGCGGCAAAACATCTTGTCTTGACTAAAATTCCTGCAACAATGTTGGCTCCCACCCCACCCCACCCACATCCCAGTTTGCTGACTGGATAGCTGAATAGTTAGGTAGAGATTTGCCAACCAGGAGAAAAGCCAGCCTGTGTAGTCTTGGGCAAGTCACACAGTACCAGAATTTCCCCCAGGAGAAGGGAATGGGAAACCATTTCTGAATGCTATGTACCTAGGAAACTGGGAAGAGTCGCCATGAATTGGAATTGATTTGACAGCACATAATCATATTTAATTAATGGGGAGCGTGGATAGGACCCATGATACAGTTGGATGGTATTTGCCAGATCTGAAATGTATTGTAAAAAACAACTTTTTGGAAAATCAAGATATACTTGGATGTGCTTCAAAAATACTGTATAGAGGTAATTTTGAATGTATTACGAAACTTTGTAATGCAGTTCTTTCTTTGAACATAGACATCTTACCTAAGTCATCCCTGTATGGTATTTTAAATCAACGATAGATGTGATGGTACAGGCAATTGAGATCTCTCCCCAGGAGCTCCTCTGAGGGCAATGTTGGTGAAATTTGCAGAGATTTTGTCACCCTTATATTTAAAACCTGCAATTTCTGTGTAACTCAGTCTGGTCTTCAACTTTAAGTAGCCTAATTTAGCATGGCTTTGGCCTACATCCAGTACTGCACAGGCGCCCATGTGGTGGTGGGACAGACATTCACTCCTTCTACATGGCACAATTCCAAAACCTCCTCCAGCAGGTTTCGCAGGCGTTGTGAGCATGTTTTATGATTGCATGGGGAGGGAGGGGTGGGGATACTGGGATTTCCCTCCCCCACCCCCACTGCCAGGGAAGCAGCCCCATCAGTAAAACAACCCTGTTGAATCTTGTCCCACGCGGGGTCTGCCTGCCTCTGTGTTGAACAGAGACCAGGATTTGGCAGGACATACCCTTTGCCCCCCCCCCAAGAAAGGTAGAGCTTCCTGCCTTGTGGCTGGAGGTCTCCAGAGATACAACTTCTCTTGAATTCTTTGCTAGATGAGAACTGCAGGTTTCAAATCTCTGTACCTGTGATGTTCCATACGGTGCAGATCCTTTTCATCATCATTATGATGGGGCCAATGGTCTGCTGTATAAGAATTGCTCTTCAAAGTAATTTGGTGAAGGAAGTCCTCATTTGCGTAAATAGAGCTCTCTGCATATAATTGCCACAGTGTTCTCCATTACTGCCATGGCCCTTATTTGTAGAATTCCTGTAATAAGAAGCAAAAGGATGCCCTCCACCGATTAAACCATGAAAAAGGGGAAAGCAGCAAAAACCAAAGATACTCAAAAGTAGAAATGGCTGCTTTCCCTATAGCTATTCTACAAGTTGGAAATCCATTTTGCAAAACCCATTATGCATAAAATGTGTTACATTTTAAATGTGGCATTCATTTATCTTTGGCACATTGTTGATTCTGCTGAGTGGCACATCCATAATCAATAAGTGTTTTATTATGCTAAGTTTCCAGCGTCATAAATACACATGAGGCAGGCTTGCATTTATGGAGACTCCACAGCAAATCGGTTCCCTGTAGTTTACTTGCCTCCAGAGAGTAACTTATAGCTGCTCGGTGTCCCACCCTTTTTAAGGGCACTGATGGTAGCTAAAATACAGCAGTGCTTCCAAAATAGATTTCATGCCTACATGAGTTAAGGGGACACTTTGAGGAGAGGAGAGTTGAGAGGGTAACCCAAACATCACTGGGAGTGCTAAGGGTGCAAGAATCGAAACTGTTAACTGGCCCCCTTTCTTTCTGTCTAGCAGTAATTCATTTTGTTTGCTTGGTGTGTCTTTTTAAAAGTGTTCTGTGCAAACAGGTTGCATTTATCAGGAGTCCCTGAGCCAGGCAGGCGACATTTCTAACTTGCGCAGTTACTGGCAGGAAGTATATCTTATCTGGAGTCCCTTAGAAGAGGATGTATATCACAAGGTGGGGGTTTAAGCCAGGGTCTTATTCCTTACAAGGGTGCAGAGAACAGTATATATCCTTTCATTACTGGGTCTTGGTCATTTTTTCCCCCAGTGTCTCCTTCTTTGCCCTCTGTCCTCAAGGGGTTCTGATCTATAATAAGCAACTTTCCTGTTCAGGCAGCTAATTATCTAGCAGTAATCAGGCACTTGCTTTTCCCCAGCCTGCACTATTCTCCGAACAGATTCCATCCCTGTTTGTTGCTGCTTGTTTGCTGATGTGATTTAGTTTAGAAATGGGCTTTTCCAGCTTGGTTGGGCTTATCAAGAGATTGAATCAGTCAAGGCTGAAGGGGGGGGGGGAATAGAATCTGTACAACTGATATCAAATAGAAAGTGTTCAGGTTGTGCTCTTTGTGTTGGTTTTCCCCCCAAAGCCTCCATCGGTTTTTGTCTTGTGTTCTTTCCAAGTGGTACTCCACTCCTTAAAAGCATTGGTGCAGGCCGGCCAAGGTACAGGTTCCATCTCTCTGGTTACCTGGCTTCTTTTAAATGCTTGGGGAATTCCCCAGGGCTGATGCATTAGGTACTGTATAATTAGGCTGCTTGTGAGCCAAAGCACAGTAAGGCAATGTGAGGAGACCTTAGAGAAAATGCCATAATCATCACCACCACCCTTTGCGACAGCTTCAGATAAAAGCAAATAATCAGACCTGGAGTTTGCCAAAGTGAAGAACAGGCAAGTCTTTTTCGAACTGATGAAGCAGCTTGCAAATAAGGAAGTGTCAGTTTTGTTAGAAAGGACATTTAATTTCCTGTATGCATACAGTTTTCAGGCAGTGCAATAACATGTTTCATAATTAACTACATAAATGCTGGGATCTGCCTGCAACCTGTGCCAGCAGCTACAACTCTGTTCAGGAGATTTTGCCCATCAGAAAACATTAGGTGATATTACTATTTATTTATTCATTACAGAGCACTTTTATACTACTGTTCATTTTTTTAAAAAAATTGAAAGCTGTTTAGAGTAATAGCAAACACAATAAAACCATTAAATATAACGAATTTTTAAAAAAAGCAATTAAACTATTTTAAAGTCTATTTTTTAAAAACATAAGTAACTAGTTGCATAACAGTTTAGGAAAATATTTGGAAAATGACCATATAAAAACATGGATCTCCAGCTGCAAGGAGAAACATGTGTGCCTTTTTTCATGTTTAAGAGTTTAAACCGTACAGGTAGTTTGAAATATTTTTAAATTGTAACACTGTGGATCAGGTTTACTGGCCCATCAGACCACTTTGGGGAGAAATGAAAAGTGTTTTTCCAGAGAACAGAGCTAGAACACAGAATGTATGACTCTGGCCCACGTCAGACATTAGGCTAAATGCAGTTGTTAATCCAACTGAAGTAAACACAGTGAATGAATGAGGACTTCTTAAATCAACACTTAGCCAAGTCTCATTGATTCACTAGGGTCCGTCCTGGTTGGGACTAACAACTGAATTTAGTCCACTGCACTTTCAGGTATGAATCTGAAGTGTACTTTTAAGTGCCAAGTGTGATTACAACAACAACAACAACAAGTGGATTGTATAGATATTTATCTAGATATCATTGGGGAATTGTGATTGGCTGTGGTTCCCTAATGAAAGTATGTTTTATGGCAGAGCCAGGTCTCCTTTGTGAGAGATGTCAAATAGTTCTTTCAAAGCAACACATTCTTCACTAGAACATAGATGTTGTCTGTTTCTGTTAAACATGCAGCTGGAAGAGACCCATCAAGGTACTGTATAATGTTAACTGCAGAGTTTACTTGCTGTAGCAGACAGAAGAAAAATGGAGAACTTAAACCATATCCACACATCATGACAAGCCATGGTTTGTAGTTTGGTGAAATCTGGCTTGTCATAATGTGCAAACCCATCACTGATAACTTGCTGGTTTCTTAACCAGTCATAAACCACAGTCTGAACCTATGGCCTAAGCCATGGCATTGGACTCTCTAAATCCCAAGAAGATATTAGTTGTAGAGACAAGAACGGAGGGACCTCACTCTGACAACCCACAATGTGTCTTCTCCCACCTTCTGTTTTTCTTTTCCAGCCTATTCATTGATTGGGATATCCCAGTGTTGTAGAAGGATGGGAGTTCTGGGGAACCTAAGTGTGCTGGAGGGGCACATGAGGGCTCCTGGTGCCACGTGCAGCCTGTGAACCACATATTGCCTTCCCTGGCCTATGGAATTTTGACGTCCCATTCACAAATAAAGTATCACCCAATCAGAGTCAGGTTACAAGGTCTCAGAACAACAGTTGAAACAACAGGAGGTACTTGTTCAAAAACCATATGACAAATCAATGCATTTCTTCTCCAGGATCTCTGTCAAGATCCGCACTCTCTCCTCTCTGGTCATTATGCTGGCTGTTTTCATGGTGATCACAGCGCTGGTGAAAGTGGACACCTCTGCTTGGACTCAGTGGTTTTTTATCATTACCATCATCTGTGTGGTTGTCATCAGTGGAGCCGCCACAATCTTCAGCAGCAGCGTCTTTGGCTTGTCAGGATGCTTCCCCGTACGGAATTCCCAGGCGCTGATTTCAGGTTAAATCTCCCTATCATGCCTAATCTGACAGTGGTAAAAAGTAAGTGGGGCTTCCCCAGTTACTAAGGGCTTTAATTTTACTTGTGGGCAGGATGCATGTGCTGTGTTGGGATTTGTGGTTTTGGTTGTGTGCAGTCACATGAGCATGAATTTCCTTTTAGTGAAGTTGGTGCAAGCTGGCTTTTAAAATAAAGAATCATGGAGTTTTCTGAGTAGGAGGTTTGAAAGGAAACTCAATAGATGGACTGAGCTGATTTCCTCTTTCCCTTTGTTCTGAATCTTAGAAATCTTATCCTCTGTCATATCTCTGTTGAAAAACTGGACTAAACTTTTGAAATGAAAAGAAAACATCCACATTCAGCTCCATGTTTGTTTATATTTGAGAAAAAAATATGAAACTTTGCATTGTCTCATTTTATATTCAGCATTAACATTCATTTCCATATCTGATGAGTTCCAGGTTTGCAGCTATGAATGATGAGCCCCCTGGAGGGTTGGGAGGGTTGATAACAATGGAAATGTACTTTAAGAGAGAAAGAAGACAAGGTTGGGTGCAAGAGGGATGAAAATCAATACAGAGATCTCAAACTTTATCTTCTGAATGTCATTGTGGGGATTTTGACCACAGTTCCTGTTAGAACCCAGCTAACATTTAGGCAATATGAGATAATAATTTTACCTCATTATTAGCATAAAAAACAGAAAGCCAACAGAAAGCATTGCACTCTTGCACTGCATGCACAAATAAAAAAGCGGACAAGAGTTCACCAAGTAGACCTCTAGAAAGCTTCTAAGAATTAGTGCAATATCTCAACAGATTTTGTTTTATTCTTAGCTGTCCGCTTGTTTAAACTTTTTGAAATGTGGGCAGCACTTAGAAAAGTTACTTTTAAAAAACCTGGCTAAAGGTTTCTGGGAGTTGTAGTCCAAAAAAGCAACTTTTCCAAGTTTAGTTAACGATAAAGTTTCCCCTTGACATTTTGTCCAGTCGTGTCCAACTCTAGGGGGCGGTGCTCATCCCCGTCTCCAAGTCGTAGAGCCAGCGTTTGTCCAAAGACAGTTTCCGTGGTCACATGGCCAGTGCAACTAGACATGGAACACCGTTACCTTCCCACTGTGGTGATACTTATTTATCTACTTGCATTTTTACATGCTTTAAAACTGCTAGGATGGCAGGAGCTGGGACAAGTGACAGGAGTTCACTCTGTCGCGTGGATTCGATCTTATGACTACTGGTCTTCAGACCTTGCAGCACAGAGGCTAGGGGAGTATTAAAAATGGAAATGGCTTTTCCTATGCACTTTTCTCTTTTAGAACATTTTTGTGTAAAAGCCTCCTCAGTGGTTAGGGCTGTAAAGATTTTCAACATTTGAAGGATGTACAGCATCTTTCTGGAAACTACTTATCACTAATGGAAGGAATATTCTGTCTTTATGAAGAATGGATTCTTAAACTTTCAGAAGCTGCTTTTGAAATTATCCTAAATATTAGGGCTGTAAAGATTTTCAACATTTGAAGGCTGTACAATATCTTTCTGGAAACTACATATCACTAATGGAAGGAACATTCTCTGTCTTTATGAAGAATGGATTCTCAAACTTTCAGAAGCTACTTTTGAAATTATCCTAAATATCAAAAGCAGCTGACATGTTCTTCTGGTGCTCATAAACAGACCTGTGAGTCTGTCCTTCCACTACTTATCACTAATGGAAGGAATATTCTGTCTTTATGAAGAATGGATTCTTAAACTTTCAGAAGCTGCTTTTGAAATTATCCTAAATATTAAAAGCAGCTGACATGTTCTTCTGGTGCTCATAAACAGATCTGTGAGTCTGTCCTTTCATTTCATAGAATCATAGAATAATTGAATTGCAAGGGGCCTGTAAGGCCATTGAAACCACCCCCTGTTCAGTGCAGGAATCCAGATCAAAGTTTGATTCACTTCTTTCCCCTCTTGTAAGGCCATTGAAACCACCCCCTGTTCAATGCAGGAATCCAGGTCAAAGTTTGATTCACTTCTTTCCCCTCCTCTTTGTTCAGCTCAGACTGAGGAATAACACTCCGATAATGACTCAAGTACAGAACATCTCCAGTGCTAGTGCATAGGAGCCAGAGCAGATGAAAACACACACAAAATAAGAGGCATAGGAACAAGCACAGGATAAAATCAGAGCACGCCAAAGCCAACAAATCTTCTAGCTAGGTACCACGACAGTGCAAGTGCTGCTAAGATGTCAGCCTCTAATCTCTCTGTCAGTCCCTTTCTCCCCAATTCCAATTCCAGCTTGTCTTGTTTTACTTGAGAGCAGTATAGGCTGGGACTTATTTCACAGTCCATTGACTTTTTTTCTCTTTCTCCTCACTTTATTTCTTCCTCCCCATGTAGGTCAGGCCATGGGAGGAACAGTAAGTGCGGTGGCCTCAGTGGTGGACCTGGCAGCTGCATCAGAAGTGACAGACAGTGCACTGGCCTACTTCCTCACAGCGGACGTCTTCATTCTTCTGTGCATTGGGATGTACTTGATCCTTCCAAAGCTGGAGTACTCCAGGTAAATCTAGTTGGGCCGTCAGGTCAACACTCAGCATGTGTCTGCCTGGCTTACTTCCAAAGCATTTTGCTCAGGATGCTTTGCCTGCCAGCCTGCCCATTTCATAGAGCTCCCTTCCTAATTGACTTGCAGGGGAGAAGGGGAGATGTTATGCTGTGTACTCATTATTCAGACCACCGTACCATTGGTTTCTCTGTTTGCTTCTCCCAGTCTGAACTTCCTGATTTTATCGAAACCCCAGAGAGAAACTGTTCAATTTATTGCACTGTAGGCTGGTTTCCTTTTTCCTCAAAAGCTGTCTCAGTATGACAAGAACCAGCCTCTCCCTACCCCCACTCACAAGTAATTCTAGACTTTACCAGTTCTGTCACAGAAATGCTAAGTGTGGCTTCTAACCCCAGAATATTGAGGCCAGCAAAGTAACTGGTCAGCACAGATGGGAGAGGATAAAAATATAGGAGAGCTAGAAAAGGTGCAGAAAATGTTAATGAAGGGAGTGGATTAGTTCTGCTGTGAAAAGAAAATATGTTTAGGACATGTTAGCCTGCAGAAGAGATGAGTAAGGGGGAACAGACTAAAGGTGTATAAAATTATGCATGGTATGGAAGAAGAGGATAGGGTGAAGAGGTCTTCCTTTCTCTTAATACATAATAATAGAAGCTAGGGTCAGGCACCAAAACCTAAAAATAGGAGATTCAGGACAAATAAAAGAGCAGTTGTTAAAAGTATAGGATTTCCTAACATAAGAAAATTTTTGGAGTGTCACAGTTGCTCACCTCCTCTCTAAAATTAAATGGTTTCAAATGCCATTAGCTTTCATGTGGGACTTGCTAGAACTTCATATGGTACGTTGGTTAAGAAGGGATCCTTTCCTCCAAAACTACAGCTAGCTTTTAAATCTGGCTTTGTTTCTGTCTCTTCTTAGAAACATTGCAGAATGGCTCCCATTATGAGTTGTGGGAGCATTTTCTTAGTCTGAAAGCCTGTGGACTCTTATCCATAAGTCTAGTGTGCTTGATCTGTGATAGTCTGCTTTAAACCAGAGATGGGCAATTGGGCCCCTCCAGACATTATTGGCCTAAAGCTCCCACCCACCATATTCAGCAGAGGAAATGGTGAAGGATTGTGGAGTTGCTGTCCCAAAAGATTGTTGTAAACCTTAGATAATTCTGTGCATTGGAGCATCATAAAATGCGCCCCTGTATGTGGTCCTTATTTCTCCATTATAACGTGAAAGTCATATGTTTGTTGAAATGTGTTGGAGACTGAACAGACACTTTTCACGTTCTAGTGGTGCACTTCTAACATGTGGCAAAAATCAAAAGAGACGACACGTGAAGTGGCCTTACCAAAAATCAGACTGTTAGTTTGTGTAGCCAGCTAAAGACTGTGTTGGAGTGACACTCCAGAGGTTTCATATGATGCCTGAGAGCCTTCTGCTGGTACCAAGAAATTGAGACTTGGGCCATAAATATAAATAAACCATGTGTTCCACTAGTGAGTTATGGGGTCTTGGAACTAGAGTCATTTTTGTTGGCTTCTGATAAAAAATTTTTGTGGAACCTGATGGTGATGATTTTTCTGCATTTCATTTTTACCTTTTCCATCTTGATTCTTCTTCCCTTGACTGATGGTCCTTTTTTCCTGTCTTTTTTTGAGGTACTATATTAGAAGACAACAGGACATCATTACACAAGTGCCGTGCACGATGGCCAGTGATCACTTAGAGAATGAGGCTACAGCAACAACCATCACCACCAGCCTATTTCCACCAAGCAGGACCCATACAGGACAGATCCCTCCCTTATGGTCCCTCTTAAAGGCTACCAGTATGTTGGGCTTCTGTGTCTTCTACGTCTACTTCATTTCTATCATCATTTTCCCTGCAGTCTCCTCCAGCATAGAGTCTGTCAACAAGGCCTCAGGGAGCTTGTGGACAGATAAATACTTCACCCCCCTGACTTGTTTCCTTCTGTATAATTTTGCTGATTGGTGTGGACGCCAGATCACTGTCTGGATCCAGTTTCCTGGACCAAAGAGCAAGTTACTGCCTGCTATGGTTCTGTTGAGAACTTTCTTTGTTCCGGTCTTCATGCTTTGCAACTATCAACCTCGAATGCATATCACAAGGGTGGTCTTTGCTCAGGATATCTACCCAGTGATCTTCACTGTTCTCCTGGGATTCAGCAATGGCTATCTGAGTACGTTATCCATTATATATGGCCCTAAGGTTGCACCTAAAGAACTGTCAGAATCCGCAGGAGTATTAATGATGATGTTCATGCAGCTGGGCTTGGCTTTTGGATCGGCTTTTTCCGTTCTTGTAGTCCATCTCATATAGAAGAAAGAGACAGAACTGCTCCAGCCTGCTATTCCCTGAATTGCATTGGTATCAGGATATATTTTTTAAATGGCTCAGCCATTTTGTGCCACATGCAACCATTTTCTTGTTTAGGAGCTTGTACAAACACTTTTGCCTGTGATGGTGAAGAAGAAGCTTGGAAATGAATCAGAATATTAGGGCCAAATTCACAATTGTGGGCAGGAGGATTTTAATAGTGTATGCACTTATCATATATCAGTACACATGTATACATCTTTGGTCACAGGGTTTACAACAAAGGGAATCACTTACATTTTACTAAGGACACTGAGAGATTAAATCCTGGATTTTGATTTTTTTAAAAAAAATTAAAATCAGTCCTATAATTGTTAAAAAGAAAAGCACTTGTTCTAAAAGAACTGTCCAGAAGAACAAGTAAGCTAACGGTTATAGCTCTTGATAGGCACTTCAGTGTGACCCCTGCTGCTACTTTTCATACTAGCTGGGTGATACACTCCTCAGGTGGTTACCACTCAGGCACCTTTCTATACATTTTAACATATAAAGTCTTATCCATTACTCCAGCATGGTGTGGATAGAGTGAGAGACTAGAACTCTGAAGAACAGGGTTCAAATCCCCAGTTGCCCATGGAAACTCACTTTGCTAACCCCAAGATGGTATTTTACATTATCTGGGTGTTCTGTGAAAGGAATTTCTTCATATCAGTAAAACTTTTATGTTTCTATTGGTAAAGTGTACCTTCACATGACATGGTGCATGTTCGTTCATTAGTAGTCTCTGTTCTTTATTCTTAGTTATAAAACAAATCATGATGAGAGATTGGTTTAAACAATCAAATAAGGTTTTTATCTTTGGGCCATAGATACTAGGAATGAAGAGAAAGATTCATGGATATCAGTGATAAAATTAAAACAACAGTAAAGATTTAAATTTAATGTTGAAAATAATCACCCCTACCCTCTAATCACTACAGACAGATTTCACTTCTTGAACTGAAACTTAGATTACCACTAACTCTCAGACAGACTACTAACTCCCTTCAGCTGCTCTAGTCCGCTATCACTTCTTCAGTCTCCCAAGAAACACTCCCCCAACATTTCATGGAGGGATTCTTGAAGACGGTAGATAAAGATGGGTACAGTACCCTGATGTAGGAAGAGGTTCGAGCCATGATCGTTTCCATTCCTTGTGACAAGGTAGTGAAAGCCATGGCAGGAAGTAAGCCCAGCTCAGCTCCTTAGCCCAACGATGGAAAGAGACTAGGTCAAGCAGACTTCAGTCAAGATTCAGTGGGGGTGGTGGGAATTGGAGGAGGTGAGAAGAGGAGGTGGAGACCTGCCCTCTTTTACTAGGAGGTATGCCACTGGCCTGGAGAGGGGGAAAGTCTTCATTCCCCATAAGAAGGTAAACGCTTTGCTGGTCACCCTGTCCATAAGTGGAGGGAGGTATACTGACACAGGACGGTTTGTGGCTGGCACACAATACATATTGAAAACCCTTGCCCTCTGGTACATAGCCAGGCTCCAAGCAGTGGGGGAGAAAACCGTTCAAAGAAAACAGAAACTCTTAAGTAATTTGCCAGAATATCAATACCCCAAGAGGGAGGACTTGACCATGTTTATGGGTTAATGGATCCTCCTCTCCTTGTGGGAGGTGGAGGGTGTGTCATCAGGTCCATAATGTGGGGTCAGCAGATTCCTGGAGAAAGGAGGAGGAACAATGGTGCAGAAGGGATACAATGCAAAAATGTCAGGGAGGGAAGCAGACCAAGAACCTTTGAGATAAACCTTTTCCCACTTTGCGAAGGAATGTCGCTTAGCTAGAGAGCTATAGGAAACTTTGGCAGGTAAGGTGGACTGTCCCTACTTAAAGGAGCAAAGATCAGAAATGTTTCTGTTTGGGAAGGAACCAGAGGCTGGATGGGAGGTTATGAAGAATGGGAAGAAGGCAAAGGAGTCCAGAGAGCTGGAAGGTCCCCTAGCCCTTAGTGAGGATCATCAATTTGATGCTCTTAAGCACTTTAACATTCCAAAGGATGGAACAGGTCAAGACAGGGAAGCCAGCAGATCCAAGGAGAGGGTCAGGAAGAGTGGTGGTATCAGAGCATGCACTAAATGGGTAGTAATGTGAGAGAAGACACCAGAGAGGCACAAATGATGGCAGTTGTTGACGGAAAGAAACTGGGAATAACTTAAGAGAAACAATGGTGGTTGTTAGCTACAAACATCATGCAGTACTAGAATGTCGCAAATGGCACTTGCAAATATATAAATATTGTCACCTTTGTACAGGGTATATTGTACTTGGGAGAAGGTTGTGCTGTAATTTTTTTATGTAGAGAAATGTAATTGCATTAATTATTTTCTTCAAATGTTTTTTAACTTCTATATATTCCATTTTCTATGTACTCCATCTAGCTTGGTGATATTTAATGTTTTATAGTATTTTTTTATCAATAAAAATCTCCAACACACAGAGAAGTCCCCAACATTTCAGTGACCCTAACCAAACATCATTCAGCTATTCAGCTGTTAGCCACCTCAGAACTCTCTGCCCATGACCATCTACGAGGCAGGCACTCAAGCCTGTCTACATTCCAACCTAATGTAAGTAGTTCTGCATAAACTTTAAACACAAAAGCTCCAAATGGGTGGAATCCACACATTATCACACCCCCTTTAAAAAGAAGTATGTCCACTAAGCAACCTATGTTAAGATAATGCTTCCTAAGTGTCATGGAAGTTAAGAGTGTATAACAATAGACATGTCAATGGAGGAGCTGTTTTTAAAGGGAGGATCATAGAATAATGCCAGAAAAAAAGGTGACATTAAGCAGCAAAAGACCAATATGTGTTTCTTAGGAAGCGCCTGTAGGGAATTACAAGGAACAGAGTTAACTGCAAACTGAACAAGCCAGAAGATAGAAGAACTTCTAGTATTAAAGCTGTAAAAAAAAGGCAGGGGAGAAGACTTGGATTTTATCTGCCTGTATACACCCATGAATTACTGACGTCTTCCTACAGGTATAAAATATTGGCCTGCAAGTTTTGAAAAGGAAGAGGCTATATAATCAGTACAAACACAGTTAAATATCTGCTTTAAAAATACGTGAATAGTAAACCTTGAATTACACCTTTTCTTCTTTGAGATACACCCTGTTAGGACTGCCCTGCCACTGGTAGCCATTCCAGCAAGCTGCATCTTAGAAAAGGGGAATGAGAACCACAGTAGGACCATTCATGACACACACTACATGCTTTTGTCCTCTATTTTCCATATTGCTGTTGTGTGACTTTTTGGATTGTCAGCCTATGAGCAAGGCTAAGAACCACAGTAGGACCATTCATGACACACTACATGCTTTTGTCCTCTTTTTTCCATGTTGCTGTTGTGTGACTTTTCGGATTGTCAGCCTATGAGCAAGGCTGTCCTGTTCTCTCAATTGTATTTCAACCAGAATTCTGTGTGGTTTAGTTTAGGAGAAAATGAAACTGGTTTAAATGAATAAAATAAATAGTGGAGGAATTCACATGGTGCAATCCGATAAGGTCCATGCTACAGCCCATGGAATTGCAATGTCCTTGTTCATCTGATGGAATCTATGGCTTTAGATCACAAGCCTATGTCTGCTTATCTGCCATTAAACTCAATGGGATTTACAGGGCAATCCCATCGAGGTCTACTTAGAAGGTCTCTCGGTTACCAACTGAGTTAATGCTACCTTTTAATCCTGTTAACTTTAATCCTGTGTAATCTACACTTCTTGGAATGGTGGACTCCATGAATAGTCCTTTCATATGTACACAAAATGAATGCTGAATCAAACAGGATGGGAGCATATGGTTCCAGAACTAATGAACTTTATGCTTTATTCAGCTGAGATCAGAGTGGGCATATTCCAGGGGTCCAGAGGTAAATCTCCCTCTTCCTGACCCACCACAGTCTACACTATTGTCCCAAACCAGAAGCGGCCATAAGGCTACCTCTGGTTTCCTGACCTTTTTAATACAGAACGTGTGTGTGTGTGTCTTAAAAGAGAACCATGTTTTCTAGAAAGCTTCAAGAAGCAAACTTTACTTCTCAATTAAACATTAATTGCAGGGGGAGTAAAATTGTAGGAGGCCTTGTGCTTTGCCTGCAGGCCATGGGTTGCTCCCCCCTGAGCTAAGGGGACTTGGATAGTTTGGGTGAATAAGTGTGCTGAAATCTAGGATAATGTTTTAGACAGAGAAGAATATTACTGAATAAAACAGAATTTTCCTTGGACATCTTAAGTTTGACTTGGTCATGATGCAAACATGCCATTTACCCATTAATTTAAATTCTAGCACACTGGGTTTGCAATTCTGGACACCCCAGCTATACACTTGAACAAACGTATTTGGAAACAATTGAATTTACTTCAGTGCAGACACATTTAGGATTGCTGCATGATGCAAGCAAAGCGGAATGACAAGTTGTGATCCAACAAAGGATACCTGCTAGAGGGAAGAAGCTCTTCCCCTGGATTCAGAAGGAAAGGATTCTGTCCCCCTCCCATAGCTCCCGATCACAGTCACAACAGGATGCTCTCCTCCTCTTTATCCTCTTCCCACCATGTGTTTGTAACACTAGAAACTGCTCTGAAGGGTTCCCCTGCTTTCTTGATTAGACATGGAGGATCTCCAAGGGGACACCCACAGCAGTTTTGTGTGTGGTGAGGATTGCTGCTTATTGGGCCCACGGATGGAATATCTTCCATCAGCATAGGTAAGCAGTGAGATTCTGGCAACTGTTCTAATCTGTTAATTGGAATGGATAATAATATGACCCAACTGCCAAAATCATTATAGTACATCATGTGTAGGAATGTTGGCTTGTTCTCATCTACTATGAGTTGGAAGGCCTTTTTTAAGCCCAGATTTGGAAGCTATGAATGTTTAACCTCTTGTTGCTTTATATTACTGGATCTGAGGAAGGGACTAGCTAGCAAATTGACATGATTGACAGTGGTAACTGAGGATGGTATACACTAAATATGCATTGACTGTTTAGCTTGGGATCACTTGTAATGCACACAGAGTATAGATTTATAGGTAATTTAGAAATAAATATGAAATCCAGTCATGAGTAGAACATTTACTAGGCATGTGATAGAGGGGAAGCAGTTTTATGGTTTGTGATATGCCATAGTGTAAACTCTGGGCACTGAATACATATTCTATTAGGAAACCCTTTGGTGTTTGGTGAAGAGATTTATGGCATAGGCGTGCTGGTTTGATTAGGCTTTTCTTTCCTATTTGCTTTCTATTTGGAAGCACCCTATTTCTATCCATTCAGGAGTGAAATGTGTTGTGAGTAAGAGAGAGAGAAAGAGAGAGAGAACAAAACCAAAGTCTATTTCAAGCTTCAATTTCTAAATTAGTTCCTGTCCCCACCCCTACCCCTTGCTATAGTAAGTGCTAGGCTGTTCTTTCACCTTTGGAGAGCCCTGATCTAATTAGTGAAATTAAGGCAATGCCTTAGAAATCCTGGCTGGTGGCAGAGAATATTTGCCTACAATAGAGCTATGAGACAATGTAATAATAATAATAACCATGTGCCATAAAGTCAATTCTCACTTATGGTGGCACTTTCCAGGATTTTCAAGATAGAGAATACTCACCATTCCTTTCTTCTGGGAGCAGTCTGGGAGTGTGCAGTTGCCCAAGGCTGGCTCTACTCATAGGAGACATGGTGGGGAATTGAACTCTCAGTCTCTATTTAAACAGCTGAGATACCCAGCCAGCTAAGAGACAATAGTATAGAAGCACTTTTCCCCCTTTAGTTTGCATGTTGTGCTAATAAGGGCTTTTACAAAATTTAGAAACCCAACATTTCATTGTTGTTGTTTTAATTAAGTCACGTTTCCATATTTCACTGTGTAAGTCATACTATGTTCTTGAAAGAAACCACGAGCCAAATTTGACAAAACTTCCTTGCTTGGAGCCAGTCCTTGTTTGTCGCTGGTGGCAAGTGTTCTGGCCTGTCCAATGTTTGATTGTGGTTCTGACTGCAAAAACAAAACAAAATGTACTCAGCTTATTGGACCAAGACCTGTGAATGGGGCATTGGACAGCAACAAACATTTGTATCTGAACAATCAAGGTCACCTTCAAAACAGAACTGCTTGGACTCCACTCCATGATGAGAGAGATAATAATGTCAGGAAGTAACAATGCCAAAACAATTTTGCCTTCCAAATGGTCAAGACTACCAGAATGGTTGGATGATCTGCCTCTCTCTCTCTCTAGCTCTGTACAAATGAAACACAATTTGAGTAATGAGGTTGCTCTGGAAACCCACTCACAATTGTCTGTGCAAGAGACACTTACTTCTATCAGGTTCGGGTTGGGCATGACACCAGACAGCAGCTATGTTTAGCTCAGATGGTTTGGTACCCCAGCACCACAAACTTGCCTTCCTTTCCTCAGCTCCCAAAACAGTTTGCAATGTGAGGTTTGATTGCATAAATGTATTTATTTCTACCTACCTCAATATGTGTCTCTGTGATTACTGTCTCCCAGTAATCACTGTTGTTTTGCAATTGATAGCCATTCTCCCCTTTTCTAACTAGATCGGGTTGATAATGATTAGTATGGGCATCTCAGTGACAGTAATGTATAACTAGCTGTATTGTGCTAAATTGATACGCCAAGCACCATCACTTCCTCTTCCACTTCCAGGCTTGGGGGCCCTCAATTCTGAAGTCATTTTAATTGTGGTGATCTTGTAAACCGACAGGAAAAGATGATGATGCTAGGAAAGATGGAAGGCAATAGGAACAGTGAAAGACCTAACATGAGATAGATGGACTGGACAGAGGAAGCCATGGCCTTTCATTTGCAAAATCTCAGAAAGACAGTGACTGGACCTTCTGCAGGTCATTCCGTCATAGAGTCCCTGTAAGTTAGAAGCCACTTGACAGCACATTGCAACAACAATCCTTGTAAATCACTTTTCATAGTAAAATGCCATAAGAGTTTAACAGATTTTGATCCAGGACTGACTTGTGAATAATTGTAGCAGTCTGTAAATTATGGTAATCTGTGTCAACAATACTTTTTAATAATCCAACCTTTCTGCTGTAGCATTATCAATTAAATATGCTTTTTTTAAATATTTGTACCTGATGGTATCTGGCCTGCATTAAATTTAACCACAATTGGTAAAAATGGAAATGATTAGATCTATCATCTAAACAGAAGCACCACCACTCTCCACAGCAAGTACCAGACTGTTTCAGTAGCAACACCTCACATTGTGCAGTTCCTTCCCAAAAATGTTCTACCAGTCCCATGGTATCAAGAAGCTTAGTTTACCAAGTGAAACATAACTCTTCTTCCAAACTTTTTCTAGCTGCTGTATGGTCTCTCTCTCTTTTAATGTGTGGTTGAGCCATCAGTCTATTTTATGCTTTCTGAAATGTTTTATGAGACTAGGTGAT